AAAAATAATTTTAGAATTTTCTACACTGACATTTTCCAGGGATTCCTGTGCATGCATGAGTAGGCAAATGAAGAGTTTTTAGTGAGAGTGATTCAAGATTCCTCTCAAAATAAATGTAAAAGGCCATTTCCTCACCCACATCATCAGTGCAGAAAATGTCAACATATGTGACAAAAAAAAGCAACATTTGATGTATGTCTTGAAAGATTTTTTTTTTTTAAGTTACGCTATTAGCCACAGAAAGATCACTTTCTAAAGGGAATCGCATGAAGTCCCTGGATCAAACTTTCAGAAGCGCAGAAAGCATTCTTCTCTTCTTGGCTGGGAGTCTTCTGCAGTGCGAAATGAGCCAGATAATATTCAGCTCTTGTTCCTTAGTCGCCAAACTCTCTTTCCATGAATCCAATAAGTGTCTATTAAAATAAATAAACCCCCTAATGATTCGAGATAACCTAATCAAGAAAGCTGAAATGGATAAAAGACTAACTAGAATGGAGAGTTCTGTCATGGGCTTCAATGAATTCTTGATGAGGAGGTCAACTGAACCTTAAAAGCTTTACACAGCGCATTTTGTTACAGTTCAAGGTTAATCATTTTATACCTTGAATTTACTAACGAAAACTGATCAGTATTTTTCCTTCTTCCAAAATTTCAGACGAAACACTAAACCATTGGCTTTATATAGTAACTTCAAATCCTGGCATATTCCTAGATTAATAGAAATGAAGTTTTTTGCAGTTCCTGGTACTATATTCCTGAATAAAAGGGACATTGAAAGATTCTGTGTGTTTAGGTTCCCAGAGTTCAAAAGAGCACAACACCGAGGATATCTCCTGTAGGAGAGTAAGGCTAGTCAGTGGTTAAGACAATGGACTGGAACTCATATGATTTGGGTTCCCAACTTTATCAGAGATTTTTTGAGTGACTTTGGGCAAATCAGTTAATCTGTGCACCTCAGTTGTAATATCAGGATAATATTTCCCTACCTCACAGAGTTGTTGTGAGGATAAATTCATTACGTCTGTGAGGTACTCAGTTACTATGTGTAATGGGGACCATATAAATGTCTAAACAGATTGTAGAGAAGATTGTAGGGAAGACACTGGTGTCTAAGGGCTTGTCTATACTTAGGGCTAAATTGGCACTGCTGCGATTGACGCAGCAGTGTAGATTTAGCAGGTCTAGTGAAGACCTCCTAAGTCGATGGAAGAGCACTCTCCCATCGATGTCTGTACACCACCTCCCTGAGAGCATCTCCCATCGACACTGTGCGGTGTAGACACCGCTGTAAGTCAATCTAAGTTACAGTAACTGAGGTAGTGTAACTTAGGTCCACTTACAGCTTTAGTGTAGACCAGCCCTAAAGGTACACAGAGAATTTAAGATCACTGGTTCAGGGGCTTATCTTTTTATGTTTGCCATGTGACCTTAGGGTACTGTAAAAGAGTAATACCAAACAAATGGGTGTGCATCAGACACAGATTCATAAGCACCATAAAGGTTCTCTGGAACTACAGTGATGGGGACTATATATATATGGTATTGTGTGTATGTATATATATATATATATATGTATACACACACACACACAAAATGTAGTAATTTCCTTGCATTTCGTCTCAACGTCACTAGCATAGTTTTTTGTACTTAATTTGCCTGGGTTTTATTTATGTTTTTAAAACAGTGTAAGAATATAAACATATCGGGCCTGATTCTGCTCTTAGCTACACTGGTGTAAGTCAGAGATGCTCAGCTTCGTTACTCCTGATTTACACACGTGTGAGTGAAAGCAGGTACTGGCCTCTCATACGTCAGAAAATCAGGCCATAAATGCCGGTATTTAAATGGCAAAGGATCAAACTTTAGATAAAAATATACACATAACGAACATAAATGGTTGTTAAGTAGAAAGTCTGAGATTAATGGTCTCAGAACAGAGATCATTACAGGGGTTAAATCCCTTAAAGAAGACTATCACCACATTATCTTCGCACCTTTCCCTTTTTGAAGCCCCCGGGCCTTTCACTTACCCTGATTTCCAAACTCCTAAGAACCCTCACTCCTCTAGCTGCTAAACCTAATCTGCAAAGGGATTTAAGAACAGAGATGGATGGGTATTAAATTATAGGCCAATTAATTCCACCAGTGGATAATCCCAATTACAGTAGCCACTTTCATTGGGTACCAACTCTTCCTCCAGGAAGAGGGCAAAAGAAATGGGTCCCGCTGGCTCTTGGCTGTGTGAGAGGCAGCTCAACATTAAGGATTTTTTTTTAAATGTCAGAACATCCTTGTCTGATACTTGCTGTCAGTTAACACTGTGAAGATCTCACAGTCATAGGTATTGCTGTTGAAAGAACAAGAGCAACTGCCTTACTAGCAAACTGGACTGATCCCAGTGGTCAGAGTTGGGGAAGAGGGAAAACAACAGGGGAAGTTTATGCAACACTACAAAGCAAGCCTGATCTGGGGAGAACAGCAAAGGAATGAACCTTGGAGAAGAGTGCAATCAGACTCTCCTTTAATACTCTCTCTCTCTCTCTCTCTCTCTCTTTCTTCTCTCTTTCAAACATTATTCCCCCCGCAAATATAGGGATTTTCCAGAGCACTGTGAGCGGCATTACTCCCATGGAAACCAATGGTAACACTCACAGTCATTCAACGAGAGCAGAGTTAGGCTACACAGAGTGAAATTCATTGCTAGTTCTTAAATGAACCAAATGTAAGGTTATGTGCTGAGAGTCCCACAGTGCGTGAGGGGAGAGGGGAGGGAACGTCCCACACAAATGAACCAATAATTTGCTTTCCTTTTTTTCCTAATCCCTCAAAATCAGGCCAACTTGTGTTCAATGTCACCCCCACAGCAGGCGCTGACATCACATAAGCTGGGAGATCTTACTGGAGCACACAGCTAGTCTATGGGTGTGGTCAGTAAAGGGTCTTCAGGAAAAGAGGAGGTGCAGCATACTTCTATTTCAGGGACAATCACTTATTTGTCCCCAGCACTCAGTGCCCCGCATAAGCCAGTTCCACACTCCAGCAGCATGTCATGGTAGCTAGGACCTCTCAGCATGGTGAATGCTGGAGCACTACAGGGAATCAACAATGCTGCCTTGGCAGGGCTGTGAAACAAAACAAACATCAGCTCAGAATCCCTTCTGAACTGGCTGCTGTGGGGGACGAACAACACAACCTTACATTTAGTTCACTCCAGACAAGAGCATTCATGGGTCCTCTTTTCAACCTTCTGCTTCACGCTTTCAAACTTTGCGTCTTTTTTTTTTTCATTTTCAAGTGGGACAGGAATGGGCTTATTTTTATTTCAGGAGAATGGCTGGTGTTCAGTTCTGCCAGGGGAGGGCTCAGTTGCTGTTCACTTTAAGCATTTGAACTGGCACAGACTGACGCTGGTGAGCCACCCGAATTATTTTTGGGTGGTTCGGTGCCTCTATTTCAAGATTCCTCTCGGTAAAATGACAGGAAGTTTGCAGACAATTTTGAGCCAAACCTCAGAGAGACTGGCTTTCAGTCTGTGCTAAAAACTCCTTATTAAAAACTGGCCTGTCCGGACTGTGTGTGTAACTTTGATATTTGCATGAATCAAAGAATAAGGGGCACGTTTGCAAAATCAATTGTGCAGTTTTTATATTTACTGCACGTTTACCACATATGTCATTTATTACACAGTGGAAAACCGTTAAATGCACAGTAGTTGTGCCAAGTGGCATTATGCTTTTAACAGCTTTATTCGTTTAACAGCTCCAGTTCTCATTATATTTTGCCATGTGGTATATGAGATTTTTATGCATTTAACAGTTTAAAAGGGTTCCATGGTATTTTCCTTTTATGTATTTCATATTGTGCCTGTGTGTGTGTTGGGTTTTTGGGGGGATTGTGCGCTGTAACCCAAGCACCTCCACATAAGAGGGAAATAACAATTAAGAAGGGAAAGAGAAAATGAAGAAAGGGGAAAGGAATCAGTCTATGCCAGGATATAAATACGTATAAGAGTAAGGCTCTTAGAACGGTATCGATGGCTTTTAATGCCTTGTTTAGATGCCTTTCAACATTTTCATCAGATTTATTTTACTTCGGTTTGAATAGTATTGTTTCCTTGCCTGAAGGAAAGGAAAATTATATAGATATATATTACTAGCAGAGAGAGTGTACATGAGTAACCCCCCCCTCCCCCGCCTCCACACACACACAAACACACACAGGTTGGTACCATCTCATAACAAAACTGCCCCTTTCACACAGACTTAAACACATCCTTCTTAATGGTCACCAACATACTCACTGTCCGCCCTAGGCCAAACTCTGTCCCCCACTGTCTCCATAAAACTGTTCTGGCGGACTTTTTTTTTCTTTTTTCGGAAACAGTTGGATAAAATTTCCATTTAATTGATTCCTGAAAGAATTTTAGCCCCACTTTGAGTTCCCTAGTATGTATTTTTTGCATCCAAGGTGAGAGCTAGTCCAAGTGAACTAAGTGTTAGTCCTTCTCCCCCAACCCCTCCTTGTACAATGGCAAGGATGGACAGTGAATTATTTAAAAGGCAATACTGTACACAATATATACTGCATATAAAACAAAAAATATCTGCCTCAGCTGCGGTTTCCCATTGGTTTCCCAGAGTTAAGCAATTAAGAAAAATAAAGAATTTATCTCCCAAATGAGGCAGAATTTTGGAGGGTCCTTGTTCCACTACCAGAAATTTTAGGTTACATACCACAGTTGGGAGGGAGGTGTATGCATCGGAGTGAGAGGGCCCCAATATGTACAAAACCAAAACCAACTACATGGGATCATGAGCTGGTCCCTTTTCCATCCTATTTTAAAAGGAAAAGGAAACCAGACGGGAGGCAAGAGAGGAAACATGACAGGTTCCCCAGAGATTATTATTATTGCAGGAACAGATGTATTTTTATTGGTGGGAGGGAGGAGGAGAAGGGTCTAATCCCAGCCCCAGAATTTGCTCTTTTAAAAAACCACTCACCTGACTTTTATTGGCAGCCACTTTGGCAAACAGGGCCTGAGACACCTTGGCCCTTTTCATCTCCTGTTGGATCTCGTCATAAATGGCAGCTGTGATGTTGACGTTGGCGCCGTCCACCTTAATGGGGAGGTCTGTTGTCGGTGTTGAGGTTTTGGCCTACCAAGAGACCATGAAAATAATAATTAAAAAAGTGCTGCTTTCAGCCCAGCCATCTGTGCAGAAATTATCAAAGGATTTCAGTCAGCTGATGCCAAACTGCATTAGCTACAGAGGGACACTTCCTGTCCATTATTCTAATCAGGTTAATTGTGATTGGAAATAATTGCAATGCATTCCTATAGGACGTGCAGGGCCCTGTCAACCCTCTCTCTCTCAGCATGTTTATTGAACAGCTCAAAGACGGGATAGGTAGCTGGGGCTCTAAGCTGCAAGCAGACAATGAAGTTCATTCTGCTGGCCTGCAAATGCAGCATATATATGGGGCAATGCCTTTTTCTTTTTTGTTGTTCTAAAAATGGCATACCTTGGAGGAAGAGCCAATTCTCCCAGAAAAAATGAGTAAATGGGTAGAGGTCTCTAAATAATAAATTATTACTCAATTTAATGCACTCCCTCAAGTCTCCCTCATTCTTTATTAAAGCTATACGTATGTCATTTGAGTATGTATGGTTTCCCATCATTATCATCATTATGCTAGCCAGACAGTCACCTAATTTCACCTAGGAAATCAGTGGAAATGAAAAAAAAAATCATTTAATAAAGCCAGGCTTTGGCATGCCTTTGATGTGCCGCCCTCATTCTCCTTAACTCATATTGCGATTTTGTGTATTCTAGTGCACTCCTTTTAATTGAATGATTTCCCATCAGCTTCTGTGACAAATGAAGGACAATAACGGAGGATGCCAGCCCTTCCCCAGGCTGAGCGAACCCTAAAAGGTTTGTACCAATGCAATCCACTAGGCTGCGGCAAGATTTTTATTTTAACCTCCTCAGCAGCACTAAAACTTTACTGACGAGTAACAGACCGAGAGCGATGACATGCCCTTCCACTGGTGCTTTTACAGTAGGACACTCAGTAATCTGTGTCAGCAGCATCAGCTCCTCAGAATGCCAGATTTCATTCATTTTCCAGAGGCTAAATAGCAGAGCTATTAGAGCTGATCTAAACTAGGCCTTAACTCTGAAACAGCTCACCCTGGAATCCCTGCACCAGAGAGGAAGAGCCCTTAACGAAAGGATGAACGTCACAAGTATAAATTGTCTGTTTGCAACTGAGGTGCAAAGAGCTTGAGAAATAAATGAGCCCAAGTGGCAAAGCTCACAGCACATTCTAAACCCTTGTAAACCTTTGCAGCTGGTCCCTGCCTTTATACCTGCAATTGCCCGGAGTTTGGGGGTAGTTATGACAGGGTTTTGATTCAGGCTCATTTCTAGTGTCAATTGTTAGCTGGACACAACTGCCCAAATGTCTGTATGTTAACAGAAAGGTTACCTAGGCCAATCAGAACATTCTGAGCTCCCTCCCTTCTCTTCCTCCTAGCTCTTCCCACCCCAAATCCTTTCCTCACCATGGAAATCTTCATTGAAGGCCCCATCCAAAGCCTACTGAACTCAAAGATTTAAAGACACCCACTAGTTCCAATGGACTTCTTTCGATGACACCTTAAATCTTGAGGATGTTAGGTGCCTAACTTTCGACCCCCAGGTTTGAAAACTGTCTTGATGCTAATGTGAAGTTGGCCATTATTGGAATCTCTCAATGCAAATAATAAGCAAAGGAAGAGGATAAATGGGCAGCAACAATGTAAGAGCTCTTAAGTCCTGTCAGTTACTGCTGCATCCCTTACTCCTTTGTAAAACAGACTGGAGAGAGCTGGCCAAATGTACGCAACAACCTTTTAAACTCTCAGAATTTGTTTTTAAAGCACTCAGATCCTTTTGCTGAGTTAATCTGGTACTCCGCTCCTCACGTTGGTCCTGAACAATACCGGAACATACCAAGGAAACACCCCAGGTGGGGATTTCATCACCAGTGCAGAATTACAGACGGGTGGTTAACTCCCCATCCCCGTTATATCAACCCCCCACTGTCCTTATTCCATATTAATAGTAGCTGACGATACCCTCTCGTTTAACCCTCCACACTGAAAAATCATTCCCAGAACTACTGTCTCAGGAGACTGGTATCTATGGAAACGATGTTTCAAAATGCCATTAAATCAACTTCTCTAGCACTGTAGCATAATTCCTAGAAGGACGGTACAATTCCTCCCATCTCGCTACCTTTGCTATGTCCAAGGCCCCTGTTCTTGCTATTTAGAACATCTCGGCTGGGAAGCTGCACTTGCGGGAATCACTGAACAGGAGATCAAGAGGCTACTGGCCTCACCCAGGCTAATACAATGTATATGGGAAGCAAAGTAAAATGTGCTGCCTACGGGCTGGTCAGCAGCCTTGTTTTCAGGGGTGCCCCAGGTCTTCCCAGCAGTGCCGATAGCATGCCTTGCCATTGGCGAGTGCTGAAGTGGGATTTCACTGGTGCCCAGACACTGTGGGGTGAGGAGCTGCTCCCGGCGTGCTCAGGAAAAGACAAGCACTGAGGGCACCACGCTCTATGTATCACTGTTGCTCATCAATAAAACAAATATGTTAAAAAAAAAAAAAAAAAACTGCTGCCTCATTCAAGTCAAAAAGTAAAGTGAGCCTGGGGGGCCTCTGACTCGCCTTAGGCCTGAGGAAGAGCTCTGTGCAAGTTCAACAGCTCCTCTCTCCCCCACAGAAGTGGGTCCAAGAGATATTACCTCCCCCGCCTTGTCTCTTTAAACTTTTATAATCAGATTTGCTAACAATGCTGAGCTCTTAAATGGGAAGGTGTTACCCATTATCCTCGTTTTACAGACGGGGGAAAGGAGGCAAAGAGGTGAAGTGGCTTTGCCAGCAGGTTGGGGGCAGAGACATGATCAGAACCCTGGTTTTCCAACTCCCACGATCCACTGAACTGCACCGAAACCTACCCCCAGAGCCAGAGTGCCTCGTATGTAACTCTAGTTGTGGAATTTATCCTACTTGAACATTTGTGTGAATGAGCAAATCCTTTACTACAATAATTAATGCAGAAACACGTGTGGTTATGATGTTTTAAAGTATCAGATAGAACAGTTGTCTTGACAAATCCTTACTTTCATGAAATGGAAACTGGGAAGATAATAGTTAATTAGGCCAACGACCTGGGTTTGCAACACAAAATTCATTTTCAAATTTGTGTGAGTAGAGTATGCTAGAAAATTACCTGCAATTAACCATTCCTTTACGTAATGTGTAGGTATAAAGTGTATTAAAATGCCAGGATGTATTTGAATGACCTCAATTGTTTTTACAGAAACAAAATCCTGTCTTTATAACTAATCAGTCTGTGCTACGCTACTGCCAATAACAAGATTGAGAGCTACAGATCTCAGATATGAAAAGTATCCAGTAATAAGATTAGACGCACAGATAACGTGTACACAGAACGACAACTCAGATGCTTTACAGACTTCAAAATACTACAGTTACTAAAGCAGGATGATGATACATGCCCATTCACTAGTCAAGTTTTGAATCAAGTTAAATGCTGGAACTGAGCTGGCTTAGCTCTGCGGTGAGGAATTTCAAATTAAAGCTATGCAAATGTTGTGATGACAAAGGGAATTTGCTGTCATCACAATCTCCTTCTAAGCACACACCCTTTTTCAGAAGCCTGAATGTTTGTGAGATTATTTTCAGTCAGGGAGCAGGGGAAAATACACTGCAGTCTGTGTGCCCACGTTCTCTTTTTCTAGTGGCAGATGAGCATCTTATATAGGGAGTTAGGGAAGTGGGTGGTAAAACAGCAGCGATCAAAGCGTACAGAAATCTGAAGCTACGTCAATCAGACAATAGTTGGTGGCAAATAGCAAGCAGTGATCTTCCGTTTCAACACTCCACCCACCTGACATCTCCATACTTGTAAGTGATTACAAATGTAAACCTCTAAAATAAGGACTCTGATGAGGCAGACTACTGAGCAAACTTATTTCTATGAGATTCTCATTCACTGGGAGCCATGTACTATATCAGCCACACACTCTTATTCACTGAAAATCACACATGAACCCAGGTCCAACTCTTCTCTCTGCCCTGCCCACTGAAATAGACACTAACAATGTAGGACATAAGTTAGAAACATGGCTCTTTCTATAATCCATCATGTAGTAGCTATATAGTGGACATACACCATTAATCTGTATACACAGCACATGTATCCTCTCTCGTGTACTAAAATACCTCTTTGTATTTATGCCATGGGTCATAGCTAACGTTGTTACAGTGCCTTGCTGACAGCCAATAAACACCTCTTACCAGCAACTCCAAAACCCTACAGAAGAAATTTCCAAGACACATCTAGGTGCAGGGAACAACAGACAGGAAAATACTGAGAAACCCCCTCTCCAAGATATGTGCAGGATCTCAAGCCAAAGAAAAACAGTTAAAGAGGGGTTGCGCCTTACCTGGGGGGTTCTGGAAGAACTCGGACTGCTGGCTGCCGAAGACACCATGCTCACATTGGGGTTCATACTTCTCTCTCTCTCGTCCTGATATATACGATCCCGCTCTGTGTCAGGCAGGTTGAGGAAATTCTGCATTGCCCTCAAGTTTACCAGGAGGGATTGGGAAGCTGTCCTAGGGTCTTCTTCTTTACGCAGGATCTCGGACAGCAATCCCTGGTTCAAAAAATTAAAAAAAAAAAAGCCAAGTCATGTGTTGATTTTTTTTTTTTAATTTGTTTGGTGTAACCATGCGGGTTGCAATGCTGAGAACCTACATCAGTTTCTTAAGGGTTCTCCAGAAGGGACGCTTGAAGGAAAGTGTTTGTCTTCTGGGCGCTCTGGTTTATTTTGGGAATGTCCTATTCTAATGCTCTAATAACAATCTGAGCACAGAGATGCTGGATAGAAAGGTAGATGCCTGGGCAGAACGGCAAAACTGCAATTACCACCAGGTGCCTCCTGAAAATATTTTAGGAACGGTTAGATCTTTCCCTCTCCCTGCTTGAAGCTGGGAACACTTGGCAGTCCTGTTCATCTTTAGAAATCTGCCAAGTTTGGTAAATTTAGTTCCGACATTTAAACAGCACAGGAGGTTTATTAAAAAAAAAAAAAAAAACCAGCATTTGGCTGGGTTTTGATGTTACAGTCCATTCACTTCAGTCTGGACAATTTTTTCTCATAGGAGAGAATGCAGCAAATATGAAAGCTTTAGAAACGATCTCCAGGGTCTGGTTACCTTAACCCTTTATTTGCTGCATCATTTAAAACATCATGGACTTCACAATGCCGACATTAATTAATGAATAACATTCCTCCAGTGTTTACAGTTTCATGCCAGCAGGTAGCCAGTATAGCAGAGGTCCCTCAATTCAGAAGGATTTAGGGACAAAAACATGTTATTTAATAAGGCCCTAAAATCAACAAGAGCACTTAAGCCCATGCATAACTGTAGGCACTACCTTGAAGTCAATATCACTATGCACAGACCTAAGTGCTTTGCAGGATCAGGGCCTAAGACAAAAGGCAATTTATTAGATCATACAGGATGTACCACTGTCCTCTACAGGGCCATATTATATCTGCCACCAGCTTATTGATGTGGGTTTCACTTCCACAAGGTAATACTATGGTAACTTCCTTCAATGTCTGTGTTCAAGTTTATTCACGTACAAGCAAGAAGCAGAGAAGGATTAGACTCGCAGGGAGAAGAGGTATAATTCAGTACTGGGCAAGCCAGTCAAGAGGCTCAGAGTTGGAGATTTCAAAGTATTAAAAAGGCTGCTCTGTCCCACAAGATTCATACACTCTGCCCACCTAGCAGTCTATCAAACTGAAGCATTGCTCCCAGAAATACTGCAGAGAGAAAAAGCTTTACTGCTGGGAATTCCATTCCATAGCTAATGAAGCTTACCTACAGCCATCACCGTTAAAGGGTCAATATTTACCAACCAGATACTGGGGGAAACTGGAGTACCTCAGAAAAACAACTGTGTGGAAACCGTTGTCAAAAATATACCTCACTGTTACTTTACAGTCACGGCCCAGTGAAATCACATTACAGTTACAGTCAATCTTACTTCAGTGCTCTTGTCATGCAGCCACATACTAGAAAACCTGAAGTATTTACTCTTGGCTTATTTTCTCCCCTCACATCAAATAGTCCCCAATACCCTTGTTGGACATTTCCAAGACAGTTGACCAGTGACCAAAAGCCAATATTTTCCAGTGTTTATTGGCCTTATTCACTACACTTATTGACAAAACCAACAGTCTAGAAAAAAAACACCCCTATGTCTGCTTACATCTGCTCACACGCTGCCAGAACATACACAGAAGAGGTATGCTTGAACCATGATCTGTTATGGCAGAAACCGCAAAACTGTTGTCCACAGACCACTGGTGGTCCCCAAAGAGCTGACTGGTCAATGTCTCTCCTTAAAAGAAGCTAAAAATACATTTTCCTAATATTACTTTAGTATGTAAGCCACTGTGGTAGCTGCCACAGAAGTGCAACGGCATTGCAAATGGGAGAGGATTGGGGCCGTGTGATGAAAGTGGAAGATGGTTTGTGAGGCAACTGGTCTGTTGAGATGAGATCCACACTATGGAAAAATTCAAAGACCCTTTGGCGTTATGGTAATGGCTCTTGCTTCGGTTACCCACTGAAATCATTGACAGTATCATGTATCGTGTAGTTGGTATAGCTCTAACAATTTATTAGAGACCGTACAGTTTGGGGACATTTCAAAATGCTTTTCAAGTTTTCCAGACTAACAAGCCCAGGGAGAGATTAACTGAAAGAGGGGTGGATGTCGTAGAGGTCTAAACTGTGAGGTTTGACCTCAGCCCTTTGCCATTCCAAGGTAGATATATCCAGTACCTGCAGTTTTCCTTTAGAGTCAATGGAAAACTCTCCAAATTGGATAAAAAAATTAATAACCAATGTTACAAGTTCCCTAACTCTTGATTCTCTGGCTGTTTTGAGGATATACCAGAAACAAATTTAAAAAAAAAACACCCCAGCTTCCAAAATAGTGTGTGATTTGGGGATTTTTCCTTATGCTCCCCTTTCTTCTCCTCCCCAGCACCAAGCTGATTTGAAAAAGAAACTTGTGAGCAACGGGAATGTACTCTAAGACAAGGGTTCTCAACCTTTTTCTTCCTGAGCCCCCCACCCCCAACATGCTATAAAAACTCCACAGCGCACGTGTACCACCACAACTGGTTTTCTGCATATAAAAGCCAGGACAGGCATTGGGGGGTAGCAAGCAGGGCAATTGCCCAGGGCCTCGTGCCACAGGGGGCCCCGTGAAGCTAATTGCTCAGGTTTTGGCTTCAGGCCCATGTGGCGGGGTTTGGCTTTCTATCCTGGGCCCCAGAAAGTCTAAGGCCAGCCCTGCTTCGCGGACCCCCTGAAACTCCCAAGGGGCCCCGGACCTAGGGTGACCAGACAACAAATGTGAAAAATCGGGACAGGTGGTGGGGGGTAATAGGAGCCCATATAAGAAAAAGACCCAAAAATCAGGACTGTCCCTATAAAATCGGGACATCTGGTCACCCTACCCGGACCCCTGGTTGAAAACCACTGCTCTAAGACAGATTGCACTGCTTCCTCCTTCCCACTCCCTCCCCGACCCCCAGCATGTCTGAATTTATGGTATAATTGTAAAAAATGAAGATCGGACACATACACAAAAGTGCACCAGCAATTCCTTACAAGTGCAGTCACTGACTCCATACTTAATCAGGTATTTGCATGTACAAGTGGCTCTGCCAGTGCCCAAACTTTGGAATGCATATTTCCAGACTTGTGCAAGCAATCGAGGTAACTGCACACCAAATGACACAGCTCCAACTTTGAGGAGTTGAGCTCTCTTTATTTACTCTGATTCCCAGTCACATTTGTGCAGGTGGGAAATCTGGCTGTACAAATGTTATATTGAGGCTCAGTCCGTCTGGAAAGATGAGGGTGGACGTTTGGTAGCCTTATGAGCTATGTGAATAGCAGGATAGATAATGAGAAATGACTAACTCAGAGGGAAAAATCCCATTTCCTTCTAAGATTGAAGAGAACGCTGTGATGCAGTGCACCAGTAAACAATGCCAGATAGATCGCAAAGTGACAGAAAAGACAATACAATAAAATATCTTGAGAGCAATAACATTTACATTAATATAATTCTGAGCTACCAGAGTATACGCAAAGTAACCAGCAAGCAACATTATAAAAAATAAAGTGATACTAAATAATCTGTTCAGCCTTTTTGTCACCTGCAAAAAATTAGGCTTTCAGTATGCAAAACATCTTCCTTCCAGAAAAACAAATGATCGTGATTTCACTTAATTGTAATTTAATGAGGCATAATTTATTTTTTAAAATGATATACACCAGGTGTGTGGTGAGGAAAGCAGCCCAGCCAGACAAACCCTAGTGTTTCTATTTTTGAGAAAAGCCTAAAGCTAGCCAAAGACTGTTTTCATTTCTGCAAATTATGTTTCTGCTAGAGGGGGCTAAGGAGGGAAACCCACAGCATTCATACATTTGTTATAAAATTCCGATGGCTAAATTAGCTCATTCCAACATACATACATTTCCCATATAAAAAAAATACACACACACACACACTTGGCAATTTGCAGAGTAACTAGCTATGCAAACTTAAAGGGACACTCCAAGGCCTGTCTAGTCTATCTAAACTGAACTTACATGAATAAACGGATATTCTTCCATCAAACAGAATCCTTAAGATACTTTTTAAAAGTGGGTATTTTGACAGGAATTGTGCTTCTTTTTCCACCATAATGCTGATTGGTTTAAAACCATCTCAAGTGATGAGCGATTAAAACAGATGTAACAGTAAATTGAGGCCCTGCTCATAAACACCATTGTACACATTCTCGGAGACCAGGTATCATACATGTGCACAGCTTGGCTTACATTTGGGGCTTATACCAGGCGCTGTATTTTATTTTTTAATTACACACTGTGTCAATAACGGACTATAAAAAACAAACACAGAGGTAGAAAAAGCAGCATATTTCCAATCAAAATATAAAACTTTGCAAGTATTTAAGTCTAGAATAATTTTGTCAGTGTCTTTTTATGCTAGTTAAGAATTAGTTCACACAACTTTACTACTGGCGTCAAAAAACGAGACAGTAAATATGTTGCACAAGTCCTATGGAGCCTTGTTTGCGATTTTATTTTAGTTTGGTTTTGCTACCGACAGAATCTCCACACTGAACAACCGGAACCGCAAAAGGAAGTCCTGTAATCAACTGTGGACAAGCAATTGGCAAACTGCTGTTCAGCTCCTAAGAGAGGATGTCCATGGTAGAGGCAAGAGGTGCTCCCCACCTCAGGGGATTGGGCCCATGTGAACCAGGGTGGTACTGGAAAGGGTGGTGATTTAGGTTTGCCTGGCTCAGTCAATAGAGGCTGACTGTAACCTCTAATTGCCAGGCGACCTATGGACTTAATCCAATGCTGAAGTGAATAGGAATCTTTCTGCAGTCTTCCCAATGGACTTTGGATCAGGACCTGTAACTGATAAAGGACCCAATGGAAAGAATGATTCTATTGTCACTGGCAGGGAAAAAAACAATAGTTTTTTTAAGCAAAGCATTTCAAAAGCAGTTTGTGTTGAAGGTGGAAATTAAATTGCTGTGTGGGC